CCCCCCCCCCCGCCGAGGACCCGCTCGGGAACCTGCCCCCGTGCGCCGCGGAGCTGCCTCCAGGCTCCGCCCCACCTAGGTTCCGCCCCCAGCCTCGCCCCACGCACCGAGGACCCGCCCTGTCCCCGCCCCCGCGCCTAGGGCCCGCCTACAGGGCCAGACCGCCGAGGACCCGCCCCTGGGCGCCCGAGGCCAGCCTCACCCGCCCGCCCCTTCGCCTGCACCGCGGCCGCTCGGGCTCTGGCGGGCTGCTCCTTCGCGGTTCGGCTCCCCGCCGCCCGCAGCAGCCGCTCAATCTACCTGCCGCAGCGCTGCCGGGCACTCTACGCTGCACGTGAGCGCGCCCGCCGAAAAGGGCCGCCGCCGCCGGTAGGTCGGACCAGCTCCCTCGGCCGCAGGGCGGGCGAAGTCGGGGCAGCCGGGGCGTCCCCTCCCGAGGGCGTCCTCCCCCGGTGCGCAGGCTTCGGCCGGCCCGTAGGGCGGTCCCGGGGTGTAGGTGGCTCCCCGCGGCAGCGGCCCGGGCCCGCAGCGCTCACTGTAGCACTGCAGGAGCAGCCCGGACGAGGCCGTGTGCGGGCTCGGGCCCGGGCCCGGGACCCCCGAGGGGCAGCAGGCTGGTTGGGCGGGGTCCCCTCCGGGTTTCCCCAGCTCGCACATGGGCGGTGTGGCCACGCCCTAGCCGGACCGGGCGCGGTCTCCTGTCCGGCAGGTGGAGGTCGGGTGGGTCACAGTCCGCCAGTTCGTCACCTCTGCCGGCCGACCTCGCAGAAACTGCGTCTTTGTTTTTTCGTGCGGTCCTGGCCGGGGAGGAGGGCTAGGGACCGAGCCCTTTATGAAATAAGGGCTTTCCTGTTAAGGAAAGATCCCAAAGTCTCCAAGACTGTCTCCAAGAGAGTGGACCCGAGCCGCAGTGCGCGCGCTTTGTCCGCCTGGCCCCTGCGTTTTGCAGGAGACCCGGCTGTTGCCGGCGTGGATCGTCTTTTAGCAATTCACACCGAGGCTGCTTATGGAGACTTTTATCCGCAGGTGTTTCCCTAACCGGGGACAGCCGCCCTACAGTTGGGAAAATCTTTGTAGGACATTTTTAGTAAAGCGGTGGAGTCTGTTACCCCTTCTCACGCCACTCCCCCAACCCTCTCCAGGACCCAGGATTGCTCCCATTAGGGTCTTAAATTTTTTTCACTACAATTTAATTACCATTCTGAAAGACCAAATCCAAGGTGATGTGCCCTAAATTGGCTGAACCGACTGCTGACGAGGGTTTCTGCACTGTGCACCAAAAGTCATTATCTACTGTTGGGTGTTCCTGGTCATGGGAGGGTGGGTGACTGTTTGTCATTTTTCACTTTGTTTTCATCCAACCCAGAAATGTTTCTTCATGTAAACATCTTTACTGTTAACTTCTTTCAGAGGGCCACTAATTTGTTGGTTTTTTGCATGAACTTGTAATTAAGAATGGATAAGAGATTTCCTGACGATTTTCAATTTTAAGGCAGATACACCTGTTCAGATACACTTCTGTTTATAAGGCGACAACTCTGTGTATCCAGTTCTTATTGGCTGTAGAACTCTTAAGTTTTGCTGAGCTATTGAGCCTCACAGAAAAGTATTCAGGACTGATTGCAAGATCATTGTCAAAGATGTTTCAGGGTTGAACTATTTTACCCATAGCGTAATGTAAAGGCACTATGGCATTGTACTGATTTGAGCTGGAATCCCAGTTCTGCCAGTTGCTTGCTGTGTGATCTGGGCAATTTTCTGGAGGAACTGATTCCCAATATCCTCATCTTCAGGCTGGTAGTAAGTAGCCTTCTCAGGACTCCTATGGGTTGCATGAGATAAATGCATGCATAAATAATGTATTTACCAAGCCCACTCAGAATACTTGCTTAAATGTCTCATACTGTGAAGTAACGGAGCTTGTTTGAATGACTATTTCCAAAGTTCTCACCTGTGCTATTAGTTACACCAAATAGTACTTTCTTCATATGGCCAACCGTAATACAGAAGTTCTCCAGTTACCTGCTCTTAACCTGGCCGATACCCTCCTTGCTGTGGGCAGTAGTACCCCTTTGCCACCTCTCCTCCTAAACACACATGTTATCGCTGAGGAGGCTTTCTTCCTATTAACCAGCTGCCCAAACCTGTGGTCTTCGAGGACTCCTCTGCTGGTTGCTGGGCTTCCTCTGTTCTTTCCTTTGCTGGCATTACTTCAGCCCACCCTCCATCATTGTTTGTGTGCCAGTTAAACTGAAATTATGTGTTCAGGTATTTCCTCTTTCATTAGGCTATGAGCTATGAGAGAGGAACCCTGTCTTTTTCATGTTTCTCTTCCCAGCATAGGCACTTAATATACTGAATGGACTATGCAGAGTATTGCAGTGGTTCAAGATGCCAGATTTCACACCTGTAAATTCCCTTGGGGGCTTGGGGAGTTATAGACTATTTGGATGTATTAACTTCTTCCCTGGCAAAATAAAGCAACACCTCTCATTCCCATCTTTAATATTTTCAAAAAATCTGAAGGCTTTATTTCAGAAAAATGGACAGGCCTGCCCAAGAATGAGTAGGCAATCTTACTGTGTGGGTGCATATGCACATATAGTATATTTTTGCAAAGATGCACAGCATGTGCAAAGGCTGGGTGGTAGGAGGTCAGTCTTAGGACAAGCAGAGTGCCTTCAGGGCCTTGGCAGGAGCAGGCAAGTTGGATTTGTTGTAGCTTAATGGAAAGAGTTTAAACATGGTGGGGATATGCTTTATGTTGTAAGAGATCTGTGGAGCACTGTGTGACAATACCTTGGAGAGGGGCAAGAGAACCATTAGGAAGCCGCTGTGAGCTTGGGGGTGGGTGTGGGGAGAGGGGCTGGCACAGTGGTGCATGGCGGTGGAGCACTTGACTCCACTGGTATTTTGAAAGATGGGCCAACAGGATTTGGACTGAGTGCGGCAGGGGAAGAGATGGAAGAGCCAGGACCATGTCAAAGGTCCTGTGGGTGGTGGGGGCACTTTCTAAGGAAAGGGAGACTGAGAAACAGTTGAGCAGATAGAATAGAGAGGGTAGGTTTTTTTTTTTAGACTCCACTGGTATTTTGAAAGATGGGCCAACAGGATTTGGACTGAGTGCGGCAGGGGAAGAGATGGAAGAGCCAGGACCATGTCAAAGGTCCTGTGGGTGGTGGGGGCACTTTCTAAGGAAAGGGAGACTGAGAAACAGTTGAGCAGATAGAATAGAGAGGGTAGGTTTTTTTTTTTTTAAGGCAGCTTTACTGAGGTCAAATTTACAGACCATAACATTCAGTTACGTATATAATTCAGTGACTTTATTAAACTTACAGAGTTGTGCAACCATCACCATAATCCAGATTTAGTCCCTTTCCATTACTCCCAAAGATCCCTTGTGCCCTTTGCCATTACTGCCCGTTCCTACTCCCTATCCTAGGCAACCACTCATCTACTTACCATCTCTATAGATTTGCCAGTTTTGGGCATTTACTGTAAATGGAACCATATAGTATGTGGCTGGCTTCTTCCACTAAGCATATATTTTCCAGATCCACCCTTAACTATAGCACTTATAAGTACTCTGTTCCATCTTGTTGCTGAATCGTGTTTCACTATATGGCTAGGCCACATTTTGTTGAGGGACACTCAACAGTCTATTTGGGCTCCACTAAATTTGAGACACCTACATCACATGCAGCGCAGGAGTCAAGTAGACATTGCATAATCTGGACCTTGAGGGGAGGTTTGGGTGGGTGCTATGAATTCACGGGTCATTGGCTTGATGATGGTGTCTGTAGTATATAGAAATGGATAAAAAGGGAAAGCAGACTCAAGGCTTAGTGCCAAGGAATGCCAACATTTTGCAATTGGGTAGAGTAAGATCAGCCTGCAAAGTAGAAGAATAGCAGAGGTAGGTGGAAATCAGCACAAGGCCGGTGGGGCTGGAGGAGTGTGTGGGCTGAGAAGGCCGTTTTGAGGAGGAAATGGTCTGTTGCACAGTCCTACTGAGAGGTACTCTGACACTGGTGACTTGAAAAATTGGGGTGATCTTGAGAAGATTGGAGTGGGCAGAGTGATCAGAAACTGAAGTAGATAATACCATGGGATTCTTACATCTGCACAGTGGCCAGTAAATGAAAGATTCAGGCTTAAAGAATATGTACCTACACTTCAGTTTCTTCTACTTAGGATATTTGCCTTTTTATTTGACTAAGTGCAGCTTGGTTAGCACACTGATTACAGCATGCTTAGTGTATTTCATTGTATCACATCACTCTGTATTTCTCTCTCCTCTCAGACTACCTACTAATGAAATCTTACTTAGCCTCATCTATCAATCAGGATTGTGTTGGGTTGTTAACAGAAAACTTGAACTTAACCAAATTAGCTCTTCTCCACAGAAAGCAGTCCAGAGGCAGAGTGTCTGTTGTTGGTGTGGTGCTGTCTTAAAGCCATCCGGGGCCTCAGCTGCTCTGCCTTTACCTTTATGCACAAAAGTCACATACTGAAGATAGTTGTTTCTTCTTGGTTGCAAGACGTGGCTTCACCTCCAACATCAAGCCTTTGTTCCAGGCAGAAAGAAGGGGAAGAGTGAAGGACAGAGGACCCATGCCAGAGGAATCCACCTCCCTCCAAATGGCTTTCCTGGAGTGCCATCACCAGGTTCTACTGACGGCTCATTGTCCAGAGCCGTCACAGGACCACCTAGCTGCAAGGGAGACTGGGAGCCGTAGAGCCGCCCTGAGCAAAGTTAGACTTCCCTTACTATGGGAAAAGGGGTACAAGGAATTTTGGGGTAGGTGCCTGCCACACTTTAAATAGACCTTAATCAGATGAAGACTAAAGAGGGCAAATGTGGATTCTAAGACATTACTTTTGAGAAAATGCCAAAGTTTGGAACTTGGTAATTCTAAATGCAGATGGCCGCTCCCATTGCAGGGATTTATAAAACCAAGTTTGGAACTGGGGACTGAATCAACATTGCTGTTCTTACAGAGTGTTTTTTCGGGCTTGTAATTTGTCTGAACAGACTGATGGATTGACCTTCAGATTTTTTTGAAATGAAAGAATAGAAACAAAATGACGTGAGCACGTGTTTGTATCACATGCATCATAATGGATGTTTTCACCGAGTCAGACCAGTGTAGCATTCCATGTTGCTCTTAGATTCCTCTTGTAACAAGGGTCACTATCAGCTGCTGTTGGAGTTGGGGTTAGTCCATCTACGTCTTGGACTTTGCAATAGCTGCAGTGGTTCATGCATAATGAATGCATCTAGCCACAGGAGAAAATTAAAGCATCCATCAGAGAATATACAAGGGCAGAAGAATAAAATGATGGTTACCTGGACCCTGGCATAACCACCCTTCTCCCAGGGTCTATACTCTGAGACCTAAAGCCATGGCTGGGGGAGGCCTGCTTGATGACTGGAGCTTTGTAACTGAATGAGCATGTGGTGGATTTCTGACAGCACTGCTGTCAGATATTACATCCATACATCCTGATGTTTTTCACCTTTTCCATCAGGCTTTCTTGTAGAATATTTCCAATCCTCTATCCTAATCTCATTGTAAAGGATTGGATTGCTAAGTAGGTTCCGGTTAAGATCATTGACCTGCTTCTCCTTAGGTTTTATAAATGCCCTACAATGGGAGGGGCCATCTGCATTCAGAATTACCAGTTGGCGGCAAGGTGTAGCTAACTGCGTGGTAAGTTTTACTCCTAGGATTAATTTTGTCAGTTAAGGAGAAACCTAGCATTTTTGCTGCTTTCTGCGCCATCTGTTTGTCTCCCTTGGAATCCAGAAGGGCTGGAACTGTTTGCCTTTTATCTACTCTAGTGCCTGGTCCAGAAGCCTTACTAAATATTTGGATTGGATTGCCAAGTGAGTTTGTGCACAGTGGTGTTTGTGGACCTGTCTGTTCTGTAGCCCTGGGCTGGGAATGATTTATGTCCTTGAATAGCTGCCTCATTTATTTTTTTGATTCACTTTTAGATACTTTCTCTGCTGTGAGAATGTAAAATGGATCCAGAAGAGCAGGAGCTATTAAATGATTACAGATACAGAAATTACTCTTCAGTGATTGAAAAGGCCTTAAGAAACTTTGAGTCCTCGAGTGAATGGGCAGATCTCATATCTTCCCTGGGCAAGCTCAACAAGGTATGTGGGCATAGAGTATCTGGATTGTGTAGAGTTGGGGACACAGCTGTCTTTATTATTTCAAGGCATTGTGTTTTTATTATTATTACATTACATGCTGATTATAACAAACAAAATGCAGATAAGAAAAACCACCCATAATTCTGTCACCCAGAGTTATACTGTTCACTTATCAGTGTACGTACCTCCTTCCAGCTTTTTTTTTCCTGAGCATAGAATTATAGTGTGGATACTGTTCATGGGATAGCTGAAAAGTCTTTTTCTCAGCAGTGTTTAGGGCTAAAGAAGATAAATGTAAAATGTGCCCAATCACTTATACAAAGATGAATTGTTCTTCATGTACTGCTTAGGATTTTTATGGCTTTTTCGTCTTTGGTCTACCTTTTTGACCATTTTACTGTTGATTGGTAACCCTGGAAGAAGAAAGGAGGAAGTAAATGATGAAATCTGCCCAGAAACTGTGTGTGTGTGGACAAGAAGAAAGGGTCTGGTCTAGGAAGACCACAGGTCATTTGCAGGCTTGACCTTGTGTTCTGTAGGTGGGAACATGGTGCTTTCCCATCCTGCCCAGAAGAAAAATGACACAGTAGTGCCCAGGCCCTCAGATGACCACTGAGACTTGTAGGTAGAAGATATCTGGGCTCAGAGAAGCTGCTGCCAGCTCTGTTGCCATCTGGCCATGGTTTCTGGCTCTGATACCTGACTTTGGACCCCAGGTGTGCTGTGGGAGTTGGGAGATGCCCAGTCCTACTTTGTATATCTGCACTCCCCGGGTCACATGCATCAGGGAACTCCAACAAACCTCCCTAAAGAGAAAGAACATCTCCATTTGCCTCTTCCAGGAACAGGGGTGTTGGGGAAGTAAAGAATGCCCAGCAGCCTGACCAAGGTGCAGGGCCTGGGCAGCAGTCCAGCACCAACCTTCAGCCCTCACAGATGGCACATGGAGACAGGCACTTGTTACAGGTAGTGGCCAGGAAACTGCACAGCCTCTTGCAAGGTATATTTACAACATGTGAACATCACGGCTGGATGCTAGCCCGGAATTTTTACATACAGGTTCTTTACATATTCTGGTTACTAGGCCTTATATGATTTGCTAATATACTTTTTCTCATTTGGGTTGTCCTTTCACTTTTTTGATAGTACCTTTAATGCACAAAAGTTTTTAGTTTGGATGAAGTTCAATTTATCTATTTTTTTCTTTTGTTGTTTATGTTTTTCATGTCATATCTAAGAAACCACTATCCAAGATCATGAAGATTAGCACTGTGTTTTCTTCTTAGAGTTTTATAGGTTTAGCTCTTACATTTAGGTCTTTGATCCATTTTGAGTTCATTTTTGTACATGGTGTGGGGTAGAGCTCCAAGTTCATTCTTTTACATGTGGAAATCCAGTGTCCAACACCGTCTACTGAAGAGACTGTTCTTTTCAAGGGTTTTGGAAACCTTGTTGAAAATTAATTGACCATTGATAGATGGGTTTGGTTCTGGACTTTGTTTTCTATTGATCTATATGTCTAAGCTTATACTAGTACCACACACATTTTGATTATTGTAGCTTTGTAGTAAGTTTTGAAATGGGGAAGTGAGAGTCTTCCAGCTTCATTGTTCATTTCAGAATTGATCTGGTTATTCTGGATCCCTTGAAATTCCACATGACTTTGAGGGTCACCTTGTCAACTTCTGCAGAAAAAGCCAACTGGAATTTTGACAGGAATTGCATTAAACCTGTAAACTGCTTTGGGGAGTATTGCCATGTTAATAATATTAAATCTTATAATCCCGTGAACACATTTCTATTTACTTAGGGGCACACACATTTTGAGCTAGGTAAAATGATAAACTTAGTAAGTGCAAGTTTCTCAGACAATGAGGTATTCTGTTGTACAGGCTTTGTTTTCATATGTCTGAAAAAATTCCTAACATATTTAATCATTTGAAACACCTTTTAAAATGTAGGTTTTCAAGTGTAGTTGAACTCTTTGTTAGGGGTGCTTTTAAAGCATTGGCCATTCATCATTCAGTAGCTGTGTGGGCTCCCACAACCTGCCAGAAGTGCTCTAGGTATCGGGGTACAGTGGAGAACAAAACCAAAAAGACCCTGCCCACCTGGGGAGGCCAGGTGACAAAATATACAGGTTGTTTGATAGTGATGAGTGTTGTGGGAGCAGTAGAGGTAGGGGGCAGGAGTGTTTGGGGGGACAGTGAGGTATTAAATGGGGTCATCCAGGAAGGCCTCCCTGAGAATGTGCCATTTGGCCAAGTGCAGAGTCTCAGGTGTGTTTGAGGCCCTGAGGTTATCACAAAGCAAGCAAGAGATGGGAAAAGCGGAGGAGATGAGGCCGCAGAGCCGGGGGTAGGGAGGGCGTCCGATCTTGTGTATCCTTTAAAACTGGAATCCGACAGTGGCTGCTAAGTTAAGGGGATCCCTGGAAGGAGCTGAGCAGCGTGGCATGGCCTGGCTCCCCTTTTATGCTGGAACCATTTCCAGCTGTTCTACTGGGGGTAGAAAAGAGGGGTGGGGGTCGGGCAAGGCAGAAACAGGGAGACTGTATAGGAGCTGTTGCTATATCATAGATGGGGCAGTGGAGAAGTGTTTGGACTCTGAATATTCTTTAACATTGTAGTTGACAGGATTTACTTGTGGATCGGATGTAGGATATAAGAGAAAAAGAGGAGTCCAGTATGATTGGCAGGTTTTCTCCCAGATTTTCAGCTTCAGAAGCTGCAGGGATGCGATAGGGAGGCTGGAGAAGGGCCAGCTCCTCAGGGTGGGCGGGAGGATTGGGGGCTCACTTTGCGACAGTTAGTTCGAGGCATCTGGTAGGTGTCCTGGTGTTATGTCTGTACACAGTGGGGCAGGAGTCGGATAAAAGACAATTTTTTGTTACAGTTGTTACTCAATTCCATGTACTCTCACCGCTATGTCCTCCTTGCTCAAGCTTCCTGTTCTCTGCTGCTGTGATTAGGCGATGAGAGCAGCCCCCTTAGAAAATGTGCAAGATATGGTGGGATGAGGGTGATACTGTCCATCCCTACCTCAGTGCTGCTGTCTGTGATGGTTGACATTCATAGAGCGCATACTGTGTGCTGAGGATTTGGTGGGCGTTATTGTAGAATACTGATAGCATGTCTTGAGATTGATCTCAGACTGGCAGCTTGATGGAGATCATAGCCAGCAAGTGGCCAAGGATCAAATCCTGGCTGCTGGCTCCAAAGCCCATGCTCTTGAGCTTTTTGCCTGTCATTATCTTTATGGCTCGCCTAAGGGTACAGGAATATCCCTCTTGGCTGTTGGGGGCACTGTCTTTGTTACCCAAATGAGGGAGGTGCAACTATCATCCTGCCGCTGTCATATGGTTACTAAGTGGATGTGCTGGGTTGAACTTTGATCTCCAAAAAAGATATGCTGATGTCCTAAACCCCAGTATCTCAGTGTGACCTATTTGAGGATCACATCTTTACAGAGGTAATCAAGTTAAAACGAAATCTTTAGATTCAGGCAAAGATGGCTCTGTTAATGTAACATTTTAGTTGTGCAGAGGCCTGAATGCAGCAAGTGACTGGCAGGGGCTCATTTGGGGCATGGGCCTACAGTAGGGGGCATGGCTGGGGTGGAGAGGTGATTGGAGACAAGGGAGGAGAGGCAGCGAGGGCAGGTCTCAGGGTTTTGTTCTGCAAGGGAGGGCAAGCCATTGAGCTTCCAGGAAGGGTGTGAGCTTCCAGGAAGGGTGACCGCTCCCTTACCTGCTAGAAGAATCCCTCTGGCTGATGTGTGGTGAGTGAGCCCCCCTGGGGAGCCTGCTGGGGTGGCAGTGCACAGCTTTAGCACCCAGATCCGGGTTACCAGATGTGGAGGGTTTGGGAAAGTGCCGGAGAGAACAAGCTCCGGCGCATTAGCAGTTTCTTAAAGAGACTTGAAACTTCTGCATTCGGGGATACCTGACAGGAGTTGGTGTGAATAAGGAGTGTTCTTAAGGCTTGAGTATTGCTCAGATTTCTTGGACTCGTGCATGTACACAAAAATTCAGTGAGTAAATTAGTAATGAATTAGTTTAAAAAAGTCTTTATAATGCAAATAGACATTACAGTATGCAAAGTATAGGTCAGATGCTTTCTAACTGAGGTAGATGTTTGCAAGTTATAAAACATAAACCGTAGACTCAGAGCACAAGGCTCATAGCTCAACTCTTGACAAATGAGAAAATGACCCCGAGAGGTCTTGGTTTGTCAGTCTGTCTATATGCGTGTTCTAATTGTGTCATTTTTTAAACTTTCTAAACTTACAGTATCACTTTTAGCATTTTTCTGTATTAGAGAAAAGTTGGTCTTTTACAATTTTTAGTATATCAACCTGAATAGGGTAAATTTTGCTTGTTTATCGACTTTAAGTCATCATCTTTCATTGCTTATTTTTAGATAAATTTTAATCAGCAAGTGCATTTTGAGCCCTTATGAAACCAATCACTGTGTCAAGCCTGGATTACAACTTTAATTATGGAAACAAAGGATAGTAGAAATGAATAAACTCTGTACATTAAAAAACTTATCACTTTTTAGAAAACATAATTGTCCTAAATGCACCACCTTTTCATGCTGCTTTTTATTTCATACCCTCCTTTTTCACAAATTGCCAGAAAGCTGGTTACATGAATAGCATGAAAAATAGAAGACCTTGGGAGTCGTTAAATGTTTTAACTTCTAAAGTCTTACCACTTAATTACAAACACCTCCTTTATAAAGCAGAGCCTCCTGACTCTGGTATTTCAGGATTAGTGCTGTGGTATCGTGGGGGCACGGGCGACCTATTCTGGCCCTTCACAGATCAGCTCCAAGACCTCTTCTACCTAAAAACTTGATGGGTATGAACTTGATTCTGATCTGTACCCTAGCCCTAATCAGCCACTTTTCTCTATTAAATAGCATTAGTCTGAGTAAAGCCTCATTAGTGTGAGGTCCATATTATTATTTTTTTTTAAGGGGAGGAATGTCTAATAT